CTCGCAAATTTGAAAGTGCGTAGTCGCTTTAGGCTCGCTATTTAAAAATTACTTTCCTAAACTCGGGTTTGCATTCATGTGACCCAAATTCGAATCTCAATAACGTTAGATAAAATGTGTCGTGGACCGTGGGTGCATTTTTGTGACGTGGTTCAAGACGTGTTTTAGATGACGTTGAATCTTTTCCTAAAAAATAATTAAATAAAAGCGGTTATAAAGTTAAAATTGAACCATATGTTAAAACATGTATTAAAATCAGATAATAGGCCAATTATAATAGTTTAAGCGACCATGCTAGAACCACGAAATCCGGGAATGCCTAACACTTTCTCCCGGGTTAACAGAATCCTTATCCTGATTTTTGTGTTCGCGAACTATAAAATAGAGTCAATCTTTCCTCGATTCGGGATTTGAACCGGTGACTTGGGACACCATAAATTATCCCAAGTGGTGACTCTGAATTCTAATAATTAATCCCGTTGCGATTGTCACTTAAATTGGAAAAAATCCTTTATACCCTCCCCGGGGGTAGGAAAAAGGAGGTGTGACAGCTTTGGCGACTCTGATGGGGATCGAACCCAGAATCTCTGGTTCAGGGTTCAAGAATTCGAGCTTAGAATAATTGTTATATTTGGCTTTATTTATTATCTGGTTTTATTACATGTTTGGGCCTAATGTGCTAAATGTCGTTTTTACTGCTTTGATATTATCTGAACTATATATAAATTGCTACGAAACCCTTCTCTTATCATCTTCGGGGATGTACACGCTGGCGTGAATCCTTTTCTGTTAGTGTCATACCTTAAATTAGGAAGTGGCTCGGACAAGTTACAAAGTCGGATGACCTTTTGGTTCCCGGTACGTAGCCCCCTCCTCAGCTCGAGTTGTCCGCTCGGGTACATAAGTCTAGAATAATATACCAAGGTTTTTAGCTTAGAATAACTCAGTCTCATGCTGGATCCCTAGTAGGAACGTTTGTTATGAATAAAAGCTGAAAACATTCGGGTGAAAAGCTGAGGCTGAGGCTGTATATAGGAGTTTTATATATGTATTCTAAGACTGAAATACTATGGGTCGAAAGGGAAAAGCTGCATATAGGAGTTTTATATAAGGGTCGATGGGTTAGCATGCCAGATGGGGTCACAGAATGGATATCACGTCTCCGTACATCACCGCAAATCAAATAGAATGGACGTTCAGGTGGCTTCTTGTAGATGAAATCATATACATGCCAGCTACCGGGCCTCACTTCCTCCTGATGGGTCTCAGAAGTATCCAACCTTATGCCCCATACCGAGTTTTGAGGCAGCTGGGGAGATGTCAAATAGTTCCAAAGGATGAAGACCTTAGTACTCAGGTAGTCGAGATTGGTTCTAACGATCAATTTCATGAAGCAGTAGTTCGCCAGATCTGGAGCGAGTGTCAGTACTTGATAGCAAGCACCCAAGTGCATGATTTATCCAAGTGTGAAGTCTCGCCCGGTTACCTCGCATGGTACCAAAGAAGTGTTGAGTTTGGGAGACCAGCCAAAAGACCCCATCTTTAAGAATTTGTCGAGGCGTCAAAGGCGCAATAGGATTGGTTGGCCAAAGAAAATAAATATAGGGCTACCATAAGCAAGCTGGAAAAGCAAGTCAAGGATCTTTAATTTGAGAATAGTTTGCAAGCCACCGCAGATGAGGGTGAGAAGAAAGAGCTAGCCAAGGAAAATGACGCCCTTCGAGCCCAAATTCGGGAAATAAAAATAGCGGCTGAAAATCCCGCCAGAAGTGCAAAAGATGAAAAGCTTATAGATAACCTTAGGCGGAAGGTGAGTGGGCATGGTTTTGATTTGAACAAGGCAGAGGGTAAGCTAGCAAGGGCTCGAACAAAATTGGCTAAGAATGCGGAGGAACGAGCGCGCTTGGTTAAACAGTTAAAAGAGAAATATGACAATGAAGGTTGTGGGGTTGAAGAAAAGGGTCACCATCTTTGAGAACAAAATGATCAAGCAGGCAAAAGACTTTAAGGCAGAAAGAGAACACTGCTATGCAACGATGACACAATTAGAAAAAGATCTGCAACAACTTCAAGAACAGAATCATATAGTTGAACAAACTTTGGAAGCTAGGGCCCAGTAGATTGGGTGTTTGTTGCAAGAAAAGGGCGTCATAAGAGAAAGGGTCAGAAGGATCGCCGACTACATCACAATGAAGTGCAGTAAGTGTGAAGACATGACCAGATCCATGTTTTTCGCCACTGTAATGACCTTTGTCCGCCAGATAATGGAGGATCTCTATCATCTCCAATGGGATTTGGCGCATAGGCCCGTGGCGAGATCGACTGATGTCCCGCGGGCCCCCGGATCAGTTGAGGCATTGATGTATTCATGATTTTCATTCGAGTCTGTCTTTTCATTTTCTTTATTGGAGTCTGTTAGTCTGTTTTCGAGTATGTATTTTCATTTTCTTTGTTGGAGTCGGTTAGTCCGTTTTTGAGTCTGTATTTTCATCTTTTTGTTAGAGTCTGTTTGTCCCCCTTTTCGAGTCTGTTAGTTTAAATTCTGTAGGATAAGTCATTGTAATCAAGACGTTTTACGAAAATTTAAAAACCCCAAAATATTTTTCTTAAAATTTATTTTACACTTATTCCCAGAACTACGCTTGGTCTGATTCATGCAGGGTCATGATACACAGGCAATCTCCATAGGATTCGATCATAACCAAAAGAGAAAAAAAATGAAAAAGAGAAGAAAAAAAGAGAAAAAGAGAGAAAACAAGAAACCGTAGGAAGGAAACAATGGCAAAACAAGAGAGAAAATGAGAGAATAAAGAAAAACGAGAAATCAAGCAAAGAAAGGCAGGAGTGAAAAAGAGAGAAATTGCAAAATGGACATTAGGGAAAGCCGGGTTGACGCAAGCAACCGATCAAATGCATAATAGAAATGGTTAACTGCTTAGGTGCATTGCATTCCCAACGTCCGGTTGCCAATCTGTTAAGCTCTAATCGCTAACAAGTTTGTTGTTGAAATCAGTACAGGCAGGTGGTTAGTTTGTTTGGTATTCCGACAACTCATCCATACAACATCAGGTCCAAAGAAAAGTTGATCATGGCTAACCAAGAACTGGATACAAGTGTTATTGATCCGTCAAGAGAGGGGGAAGAGTCTGATGTTAATCTGAAAGAGGAGTTGTATAAGCTGAAATAACAGATGACACAGATGAACCAGGCATGGGTGAAAGGGCATCCACCACCATCCTACCCTGCCAACCCTGCTTTCATCCCGCCGTTGGCTCAATACCAGGAACCTCCCACTGTTGATTCATCTCCAGGCTTTCCCGTTTACCATCACTACTAAGGCACCACTTCCCAAACACCACCAGCTCTACCACCCAAACCAGTTCCGTACCTTCCTCTACCAGCCACTCCTGTTTTTGTGGAACCACCACCCGCTACGCTCCACCGATCCTCCAGTGAGCCTCTATTCTAGACCCAAGATAAATAATACTATCCCCGGATCCTACTTTCAAAGCCCCGGAACCTTACTCCCATACCCCTCATTTCGACCTCCTCGTTGAGATTGAGAAACCACCTAAAAATCCAGAATAGGAGGAGATGTTCAAGAAGGTTAAAAGCTTGGAACAATCATTCAGAATCATGCAGGGATTGGGACGTCAGGTGAGCGTGGCCTATAAAGATCTGTGCCTATTTTCCGATGTTCAACTGCCAGTGGGATTCAAAATGCCCAAATTTGATCTGTATGACGGGCAAGGAGACCCAGTTGTTAGATCAAGTTCAAGAAGTAAAGAAGACTGTTGGAATGGTTCATGATGTACAAGGAAAGAAATCAATCAGCATGTGATCAGCAAATCTGAACTGGTCTCGTAAATCTGGGCGCAATCTAATCAACGAATCAATCAGCGATAACAATGATTAGCTGAGCTGGAAAAAATCTAATAAGCCTTGGACAAAGGCACAAATCATGGGCAGAATCACAGAAGACTAAAGGATACGAGAAGATCTGGGAAGCGACCAATTTGGAAGATCCAACAATCAAGGAGAAATCAAGTGAAGCAATCCTCTGCTTAAGGAAAGCAATCAAGAGAAGCAACGACTCATTCCTTATTCTTGGAAAGAATCAATTCTTTCCAAGGATCAAATCTCTTGGGTTGTCAAGCCTCTACCATCCATCAAAGTATTTATACACCCTTGTAAACCCTAGATTATACATACTTTGATCAAACCAAATCACTCTCTTCATTCTACTACAAACAAGCATTATAGTTCACTAAGATTTGATGTGTAACAAGCCAGGGATAGAAAGAGAGCACACAACTGGTGAGGCATTGTATCAAAAACGAGTGCTAGAGAAACTGAGCGATATACACCACATTTGTACTCGAAGGAAACTCATTTACTAAAGAGAACTCCCTTGCAACCCAAGGGGACTGGATTAGGATTCACATTGAATCCGAACCAGTATAAAAATCCCGGTGCTTTTAATTCCTGCAATTATTTTCTGCATTTTACCTTCCGTTACCATATCTACTAAATTATCATATTCAGTCAACTTATAAGCAATTAATTTTAAGTATTTACAATTCACCCCTCCCCCCTCTTGTACTTTCAATTGGTATCAGAGCAAGGCTAACATTTTACCTTTTGCTTAACAGCTTATGAGAAAAGATCATGGCAAATCAAATTATCATAGGAGCTCTCTTTAAGGAAGGAACTTCACAAGTTAGACCACCATACTTCAATGGACAACATTTCTCTCACTGGAAAGTACGAATGGAAATCTTTGCTAAAGCATACGATGTCAAAGTCTGGAGAGTCATTAAAAGGGGAAACTATCCCCTACCTGCTAGCACTCCACCACTTGTTGATCTTGATGATATAGATTCATACTCAAAGGAGCAACTGGAAGCGGTACAAGTGAATAACAAGGCAAGAATCTGCTTCACAATGCTATAAGTGGTGAAGAATACGAGAAAATATCGAGTTGTGATACAGCTAAAGAGATGTGGGATAAACTAGAGGTCACCTATGAGGGAACCAGCAAAGTAAAGGAAACTCACATCAACATGCTAGTTCATGACTACAAACTCTTCTCAATAAAAGAAGGAGAATCCATTGAAGAAATGTTTTCCAGGTTTAGTAAAATAATTAGTGACTTAAAGGCATTTGGCAAGCCCTACACCAGTGGTGATCAAGTCAGAAAAATTCTCAGAAGTCTGCCAACCACTTGGCAGACCAAAGTAGTCACACTGGAATCTCAAGATCTAAACAAATTGTCCTATGATGAACTACGAGGAGAACTCATTGCTTTCGAAAGGGCACATTTGAAAAATACAAATCAAGAGGAGAAAAAGAAAATAGTTGCATTCAAAACCTATACTGAAATGGCTGAAAATGAAATTGATGATCCTGAAGCTCTACAAGAAGAGATTGCTATGATGTCTAGAAATACGGATGGGCTGATGAGAAGATACAGAAACACAAAGAAAGGAAGATTCCCACCAAGACGATCCAGGAAATACAATGAACAGGATAAGAACGATGGAAAATGCTACGAATGTGGAAAATTTGGGCACATTCAAGCTGAATGCCAAGAACTGAAAAGGAATATCTCTAGAGGCTTCAACAAGAACAAATCCTTCGAAAGCTGGAGTGATAAGGACGACTCAGACCATGAAGAAATAGCAAATCTTTGTTTCATGACAATTTTGGAAAATGAAATAAACAAAACCTCAGGATGCTGGACAGATGAAGATGATTCAGATGACGAGAACTATTTCATGGCACGGGGTGAAACTAGTAAGGTAAGATCTTATGACTGCGAAAGATGTAATGAATTGCAGGATATTCTTGATTACACCTTAAAAGAGTCTCAAAGAATAATGAATGAACTTAAGAGACTCACTAGGGAGGTTAAAGACTGGAAACTCAAACATGAAGTATGTGAAATCGAAAAAGAAGTACTTCAAGAAGAGTTTGAGGAGTTGCAAATGCAGCTTAACAGCTTGCGCAAATCCACCAGTCATAGTTCTGTTAGGTCAAACCAAATGACTTACAAGTCAACTGGAAAGGAACCAATCAGAACCAAGTCGACCAGTCGGTCGGACCAGATGACTTACAAGTCAATTGGGAAAGAACCAACTAAATCTAAGTCGGCTAGTTCTAACACTCATGAAAATAGGTCTGGAGCTAAATGTCATTACTGTAATAAAAGTGGGCATAAATATTCCGGTTGTTGCTTTTGTAAATCAAATGTGTCAGGATGGGTTTGGAAACCAAAAAATTCTAAACCTAGCAACACTAACCCACCAGGACCCAGGCAAGCTTGGGTACAAAAATGAAAGAGATCATCTTGTCTTGCAGGAACACCACAGAGTAAGCCGCAAAGGAAAATGGTATCTAGATAGTGCGTGTTACAGTCATATAACAGGTGACAAAAACCTGTTCATGGAAGTTACAAATATCGATGGAGGAAGTGTAAAATTCGGAGACGATTCAAGGGGCAAAATAATTGGCACTGGAACAATTCCTTTCAATAACAACTGTGACATTACTGTAGTATATCTCGTTGATGGCCTAAACTACAATCTCTTGAGCATAAGTCAACTCTGCGACTCAGGATATGAGGTAAAGTTTAAGAGAATAGGGTGTGCTATTGAAGATGAATCGGGTAAGATAATTCTTCCTGGAAAAGGGTATGGAATTTTTTATATACTTGATGGTTTTGAAAAGATAGATGGCCACATTTGCTTATCCTCTATGTCTGATGATTCATGGTTATGGCATAAAAGACTTAGCCATGCTAGCATGCACTTGATTGAAAAAATGTCCAAACATGATTTAGTTATTGGTTTGCCTAAACTGAATTGCTCTAGAACTCATATTTGTGATGCATGTCAAATGGGTAAGCAAACAGAAATTCCTTCAAAAATAAAGATATAGTATCTACTTAAAAACCTTTGCAATTGCTTCATATGGATTTATTTGGGCCTACTAGAACTGCTAGCATAGGAGGTAAGAGGTATGCTTTTGTTATTGTTGATGACTTTTCACGTTTCACCTGGGTGATCTTCTTGTCTCATAAGGATGAAGCCTTAAGAAATTTTGAAGTTTTCTGCAAAAAGTTTGAAAGAGAAAAGGGATATCTGATCTCAAAGATTCAGAGTGACCATGGAGGAGAATTTGAAAGCAGAGCTTTTGAAGACTTCTGCAATGATTAAGGATACACTCACAATTTCTCTACACCACGCTCACCACAGGAAAATAGGGCTGTGGAAAGGAAGAACAGAACTCTCCAAGACATGGCAAGAACCATGCTACTAGAACATTCATTGCCAAACCATTTCTAGGTAGAAGGCGTAAGTACTGCTTGTCACATCCTCAACTGTTGCCTCATAAGGCCAATTCTGAAGAAGACCCTTTATGAACTCTGGAAAGGTAAACGTCCAAATATCAGTTACTTCCATCCCTTTGGAAGCAAATGTTTTATTCATAATAACGGTAAAGATAATCTTGGAAAGTTTGACCCAAGAAGTGACGAAGGTATTTTTCTTGGTTACGCGTTAAATAGCAGATCTTTTAGAGTCTACAATAAATGTACTTTATGAGTAGAAGAATTTGTACATGTTATATTCGATGAAAATAATCCCTTGGTCGAGAAAGGAACTACTACAGGTGACGAAGATCAAACTCAAGAAGCATAGGACAAAGGAAAATAACAGGAGTCGACTAGCACATCTGGGGTGATCGAGTCAACTAGAGAAAATAGCAACAATACTCCAGACCCACAAGTCGAGTCGACTACAAATATAATTTGACCAAATGAATGGAGAAGTGAACCCGAATATCCTCAGAAATTTATTATAGGGGATCCAAACGAAGGAATGATAACCAGGGCTGCCCTAAAAAAGAAAGCAAATATTGCATTGATTTCTCAAATTGAGCCAAAAAAGGTAGAGGAAGCATTGAAGGATTCAAGCTGGGTGCAAGCCATGCAGGAGGAATTAGATCAGTTCAGCAAGAATCAAGTGTGGAAACTAATACCCAAACCTGATAATGTGTCTGTGATCGGAACAAAATGGGTATTTAGAAACAAACTGAACGAGGATGGAAAGGTCAAAAGAAATAAAGCGAGACTAGTTGCTCAGGGCTATTCACAGCAAGAAGGAGTCGACTATGATGAGACTTTCGCCCTAGTAGCTCGTTTGGAGTCTATACGAATTCTTCTGGCATATGCATACTTTAAAGGATTCAGGCTGTTTCAAATGGATGTTAAAAGTGCCTTTTTGAATGGATTTATCGAGGAAGAAGTTTTTGTAAAACAGCCTCCAGGCTTTGAGGATTCAAAATTTCCATACCATGTATACAAGCTTACCAAAGCATTGTATGGGTTGAAACAAGCTCCATGTGCCTGGTATGATAGGCCGAGTACTTTTCTTATTGATTATGGCTTTACCAGAGGTAAAATAGACACTACTTTGTTTATTAAATGATCATCAGAAGGTAATATCATTATTCAAATTTATGTTTATGATATTATATTTGGTAGTGCTAACCCTCTTATGTGTAAGGAATTTTCAAATCTTATGCAAAACGAGTTTGAAATGAGCATGATGGGTGAACTCACGTTCTTCCTTGGGCTACAAATCGAACAAACCGAAGAAGGAACTTTTATTTGTCAGACCAAATATACAAAAGAGCTGATTCAAAAATTTGGTATGAACAATGCAAAATCAATTGGCACTCCTATGAGCCCCACTACAAATCTAGACAAAGATGAACAGGGCATGCCAGTTGATGAAACCAAATACAGGGGAATGATTGGATCACTGCTATATCTAATAGCAAGTCGAACAGATATTATATTCAGCGTATGTAAATGTGCCAGGTTTCAGTCAGCTCCCAAGGAGTCACATTTGACTGCTGTAAAGAGAATCATTCAATATCTCATTGGAACTGTATCTCATGGATTGTGGTATCCTCGCTCTAACTCTTTTAAATTAGAAGGTTTTTCATATGTTGATCTTGCAGATGATAAAGTAGATAGAAAGAGCACTAGCGACACTTGTCAATTACTAGGAAAGGCATTAATATCCTGGAACAGTGAAAAGCAAGCATCAGTCGCCTTGTCCACTACTGAAGCTGAATACATTGCTATTGGACAGTGTTGTGCACAACTACTGTGGATGTCTCATCAATTGGGTGACTATGAGCTTTCGTTTAAACCTATACAAATTTTTTGTGATAATTCTAGTGCTATTTGTCTTTCAAAAAATTTTGTGCATCATTCTAGAGCAAAGCATATAGATATTAAGCTTCATTTTATTAGAGATCATGTTCTTAAGAGAGATATAGAAATAGCCTTTGTTGGCACCTCTGCTGAATTAGCCGATATTTTTACTAAGCCTTTATTAGAAGAAAGATATTGTACTTTGAGAAAATTACTTGGCATTATTTGCTTTTCTAATAACTCTTAGGACCTATGTGCTCAATTACTTTTAAAGTGTTATAACTGTCATTTTCCCACGCATTTATTACGCCTCCGATGTTTTCCCTCTTTTTTCACTTCGTTCACATCAGTTCGCAGTTCGAAGATGGAAAGCCAATCATCACGTCTTCTCGACTGACAACTTTTCCTTTTCTGGACTTAACCGTCAAAACCCTCTTCTTAAGTTAGAAAACCCTTTCAGTCACTCTCATCTCCATCTTCTCTCCAAAACCTCGAGCAAATCCCCTCTTCTACAATGGCGAAACACTCCAAGAATCCCTCTGCCTTCACCAGAAAAAGTATCCGCTCTAAGCTAAACCCCCTTTCTGTGCCTCCTGAGCAAGTAGACCTAGGGTCTGATCACTCTGAAGGCTTCGCCTCATCTCAGGGTGATTTTTCTGAACACTCCCAACTTCTAGGAGAAAAAGCGTTAGGCAAACGACCCATGGAAGATCCTCCCATTTCATCCACCCAAAGAAATCAAAGGTTGATTTCTCTGCCTCACTCGAGTCGGACCTAAATTTCTGGGATACCCCAAATAGGGATCTTTTCATTACTCTTAGGACAAGCCCATCGCCCATGGAAGGGTCGTGGATCTTGATGATATTGACGCCCTCACTTGTAAGGTTAAAAAACTCTTTGTTTATCAAGGGTGGGAAAAATTCCTCTCTATTCCTCCGCCTAAGGTATATGAACCCCTGGTCAAAATATTTTATGCAAATTTTCACTCTAGTAAACCAGATAGGCTAGAATGTCTAGTGCTAAGTAAGCACATTGTTCTTGATTGTGCCTTGTTTGACTCTCTTTTCCAATGTCGTTGCTCTGGTTTCCCAACTCTTTTTAAAAATGTGTGGCTTGAGGATTTTGAAATTTCTTTTGACCAAGCCAAACTGTGCATTGTTGAGTGTCCCTCTGAAAATTTTTCAAACCAATTGGTCCCCAGTGATGTAAGTTTTGAAACTCGAGTTCTGGCCCATATTGTGGCAACCACCCTGCTTCCTCGTACTGGTTCCTTTTCAACTTTCTCTCAAAGGTATACATTCTTTGTCTACTGCCTTATCACCAAACTCAAACTCAAGCTTTCCTCCTGGGTCATCAATTTCATGATAGAAAGTGCTGAAGATCCCACTAGTTTACCCTATGGCATAACAATCACTCGTATTCTGGAAGCCCATCAAATTTCTCTATCCAACTATCCCTTCATTACTGTCTCCAAGTCCTATAATTCTAGAGCTTTTGCTAGTATGAGCTATGTGAGTATCAAGGGCTCCTGGGTTAAGAAAAGTGAGAGTGAAGCAAAGAAGCCCCTATGGAAACCAAAACTTCATCAGTTGTTCCTCCTCCTACTCTTGTCAGTTTTGAGCTTAGTGAGAAGCTTAGCTCTATTGACTCCAAACTCTCTGACATCAAGAATCTTCTTTCTGCCACTCTGTCCACTGTGGGTGACATTCATGCTATTTCAAAGGAAACAGGGTCTGACGTGTCAAAAATCAGAGTTGTTGTTCTCAGAGTAAGGGAGAATGCTGTCAAAGCCTTCAAGGAGGTTCACAACAGGCTGAATGGTCTAAGCGTCGCTACAAATACTAGCTTCGAATAGTTAAAGGAGGCCATCTGCAACACCCTTACCTATTTCATGCACCGCTAATGTGGATGTTTTTCAAAACTATGTTTTTTTTGACATCTTGTTTTGGTGGTATTGTGGGCTGCTGTTTAAGCCCTTGGATAATTCTGTTTTTTTGCTACTGTGGGCTGTTTCACCAGCCACTGGATAATATTTTTACCTTTCTGCTTTACTGTTATTTATGTTTCTAATCCCTCTTTGCTGATGACAAAAAGGGGGAGAAAAAGCCTATGTTATTTTGCCTATGTTATGTGTATGTGTACAGGTACAAGTCGACTATGCATCTATCTGTGTATGTGTACAGGTCGACTGCACACATTTTATATGTGTATAGCTAGCATATATTGTATACTGTACAGGTACAAGTTGGTACAAGTCGACTGCACACATTGAGGGGAGAGTCATGGACAGGTCAAGTCGATTGCATACATTGAGGGCGAGTCAATCGTACATACATTGAGGGGGAGTCAAGTCAACTAGTAAAATATAGGGAAGTCAACTGGTATTTACTTCTTTACCTTATTATATTATTTTGCCATCATCAAAAAGGGGGAGATTGTTAGATCATGTTTTAATGATGCAAATAATATACATGTGCAGGAAATCAAGTTCAAGAAGTAAAGAAGACTGCTGGAATGGTTCATGATGTACAAGGAAAGAAATCAATCAGCATGTGATCAGCAAATCTGGATTGGTCTCGTAAAGTTGGGTGCAATCTAATCAACGAATCAATCAGCGATAACAATGATTAGCTGAGTTGGAAAAAATCAAATAAGCCTTGGAAAAAGGCACGAATCATGGGCAGAATCACAGAAGACTGAAGGATACTAGAAGATATGGGAAGCGACCACATTTGGAAGATCCAACAATCAAGGAATCAAGTGAAGCAATCCTTGCTGAAGGAAAGCAATCAAGAGAAGCAGCGGCTCATTCCTTATTCTTGGAAAGAATCAATTCTTTTCAAGGATCAAATCTCTTGGGTTGTCAAACCTCTACCATCCATCAAAAGTATTTATACACCCTTGTAAACCCTAGCTTAGACATACTTTGATCAAACCAAATCACTCTCTTCATTCTACTACAAACAAGCATTGTAGTTCACTAACATCTGC